AAGGTTAGCCTAAAACTCTTTATATGCTTTACAAACAATTTCTGGGATAATAGATAAAACTTCAGAGTTCACTGACTTAATTCCTTAGCACCCCATACTGATTGCTATCTCACCTCACAAATGTCATCATCAGTGCGATTTTGGGATAAAAACTGCAAAATCGTTGTTTCAATTTTCTCCTTGCCACATGCACCCACAAACACCGTTCTAATTCCAATTTAATGACAGCAGTTGGTACTTCTAAACCATGCCAAGCCTGGATTCAGATTTTATCGATTTTATCTGAAAACAATGTCTTTGTTTAATGAAGTTTCTGGTATACGATCTTGCTCAGGGATGGAGTTACACCCCATACTGATTGCTATCTCACCTCAAAATGGAGGGGTGTTAAATTGATGATAAATGCTTCAAGTTGCCTATTCTTATGCTTAGCAATGAGAAATACTGGTATAAAGGTCCATATTTTTTATTTTTATAGGGATTTTTAATGTTAAAAAAGATAAATGCTTTACTGAATAACAAAATGCACCAAAAACTCATTTTTGTCATTTTTATGATCATCAACCCTGTCAGTACCCTTAATACTACCGGTATGTTCTAGCATTTAAATTATAATTATAGTGGACTTTCATCACAGATACAGCCACAAGGCATGCCAGCTTTACTATTTTATCTAAAAAAATGCAATTGTTTTGCTTTCTCCTGATTAGTATATCATTTTTAAAAAAATTAATATTTCAGAATTACTTTAAATAAGGATATTTCACATTGCAACATTTTGGATTACTAGCTTATACTTCAAATGACACTGCACTCTTAGAAAAGTATCATGCAGGGTGAAGTAATTACAGCACTTAAAGACGTTTCTTTGACTTAATAACTTAACAAGTGTGGAAAGGTATCAAAAATTTTAACCAGAGCAAACCCCAGCTTGCCACTTTTGGGGTTATCCCTTTGGCCACATTCAGAACAGCGGACTAACTACTCCACAGGTTAAATATCTCTGACCCACGGGGGAAACTATTCAGTGTCTATTAACTATTTAGTGTCTATTAGCGGATTAGACGGCAAGCTTTTTGACTGTTAACATGCCTAAGAATTGAATCTGAGGAAAAACCATCACTTATATACATAAAAAAGCATAACTTCATCAGAACTGAACCGATCAAGCTTATTTTTTAACTTGATCTGTATATTAGTCCTATGAATCAGTCTTACAAGTTTTAAAGCAAACTATGACATGGTTTTCATGTTATCTGTATAATGGTGGATTAAATATGCTGAAAAAGCGAAAAAATTAAAGCATAACTTTTGTAAAAATGGTCTTATCAAACTGATTTTTGAACTCAACCTGTATTTTGGTAAGATTGATCACTCACGGGAGTTTTAAGACAATAGGCCTATCTGTTTTGCTTGAAATGTGTTATATGTGTTGCATATAAGCTGAAAAAAGCAAAAAAAAAAAACATAACTTTTGAAAAAATGGCTAAATCATGCTCGTATTTTAACTCCACCTGTATTTTATGAATATTCATCAGTTCCATAAGTTTGAAGACAAAAGATAAAATGTTTTTCCACCTTTTGTGTTATCACTGAAATGGTGATGACAGCCACACCAAACAGAGGTGACGGCTATATGTACAGATACATCTGTGTTTGTATATAAAAAAGGAATGCAATTTTTATATATGCTTCACACAGTCCACAATTGTTCTGGTCACTGTACAGTGACATAAGACCATCTCAGTCCTTCAGTGGAGTATGTACTGTTATGCTTGAGTATAATTCCAGACAATGACTAGCTTTAATATCTAGACATCTCATCTAAATTTAAATTTGGACAGAAGTCTTGCACCAGTGGAAGAATGGAGAAGGATGCCTCAGGTCTGCATTTCAGGTCTCATACAGTCCATGAGAAGGTTACTAGCCTGGATGTACTGCAGCCCGGGGAGGGCACTGAACAATATACTACCCTTTAGGTAACATTATTGTATGAAAAAGTATATTAAAACCATAGACATAACAGTACTTGCATTTCTTTTTTAGGTGAGTATATAAAATCACTGTACATCCCTTCTGCTTGGTCCTGTAACTTTGAGAATAGGTATCAAAGAAATCAGAAAAAAAACAGGTAAAATGTACGTGTACATCAATCAATGTTTGTGGACTTCAGATTCTGCAGAGAAATGTCTACAAATTGAGAAGAGCCATCTGCCATACATGTTTTGTGAATGCATTTTTTTTCTTTGAGATAGGTCCCTTTAAACAAAATTCTGCACACCAACCTAACTACAAAGCTAGGATGACGGACGTACAGAAAATTTGTTGACTAGCACTGTGACCACAACTGACAGACAAAAATATAAACCTCTCATGATAACAGGCAGCCTTGCATGTCATTTTCCTTCATTTCATGCATCCCACATAATCACATACCTAATTATTTAAGGATTAACCAGATCTGTGTGGTCTTAATGTGACTAACATGAAACACTTCTTTTACACATAAAAACAAAGGAGAAACACAAGTTCTGACTCAACAGTGAATGCTGCTGCCATTGAAGATCTAGTGTGCAGACCAGAAATTGATGATGGATCATGTCCTCCATCTTACATCTTATTTTGGATCCTAGGTTTCGGGAACTATAATGGCTGCATCTCCTGTGAAAATGCTCTGATTGGCCCCAAACTCATGCAGATTAAAATAAACCCCAAGAGTAACCTCTCACCATATAATACCAAAGTTATGTCTATGCAATTTCTGAAAACCATCAACAGCAAACACTTTTTAACAGAAAATGTTAACAAAATTTTGGCCCATGAGACCTTGAATATAATAAATGTAGGTCAAATTTAAAATCTTCACATGACTTTCTACCAAACTTCTTTAATAACTTTGCCTATATCTCCTTCAATTTAGAGAAATTTGGCATTTAATTTTTT